ACCTTGTAATCAGTGGCGGAGCTACATGCACTCAAGGGTGTCAACCAACATCCCTTAGTCGAAATATTACATTGTGTAGTTGGGTAAATTTTTTTTAAAATATGTATATATACTATGGGTAATTTTTGACCCCTCCGCTACTGCTTGTAATCTCCATTCTCCAGCACTTGCCCCTTGAACTTCACTTTTATTTTGTCTCTCCATATCTGTTTTCCTGAAAATTGGCGTGCTATCTTTTAGTATCTGCCCAATCATAACAATATAACAGAATAAGGTTTCATTTATCAAATTCACTTCTATTCTAGGTCCTGATCGACCTTCTCCTATGCTGCTTAGTGTTGCCCTTCGATTATGTAGGAGTAGTAACTTTGAATAGCATCAGTTAATGAGAACACACAATTCTCATGCAATGTAGATTAAGCTTCCCCCTAGGTGTCTCTGTAATGTTACATATCAGACAACAGGTCGAAAAAGTAATTTATCTTTGGCTAAATTTAACGTGAAAACTGTTTTGGAGGTTTGCCACTATCTCTAGATGTGAGTTGTTATTTAAATGTCACTATCTTTAGAAGATGTTTTTCTTCACTTAAGCTTCACAATCCATTCAAAGTTAAATAATCTTGCATCAAAAGGGTAGGTATCAAAACTCATGAATCACCTACTAGCTTTATTCCTTTCAGCTAGGGGTGTTCAAATCGAATCGGAAAATCGCATCAAACCGAAAAGTCAAATCAAATCGATTAAAATATTTGATTAGGTTTGGCATGATTTGGTTCGATATTAAATAAAAAAAAATCGAATCAAACTGACATATGAATATATATATATATATATACACACACACACACACTTTTAAGACTTTATGTAATTAAAAAAAAATTAAATTATGTCTGGAAATATTTGGGATCTTCTCATAGGATGTAATATTTAATAGATCTACGAAGTGCATTCATTTTTATATACTTTAAATAATGGTTTGCATCACTTTCTTATCAAGCGTTATTGAAATGTGTTAATCATCTCTTTATTCTTCCATATTCATATGTATATCTTTTTCGAATTTGAAATGGTATTTCAATAATCTAAAATTAAATAGAACATAATCATTATTTAGGTATCATATTGATTTTTATGTTTAATTATTAAATTCGTTTAACGTTGAAAGCGTACATCACTGAAAAATAATTGTTAGACGATTAGGAAAATAATTATCATATGTTACTAAAAAGAATTCCATAAGAATATTTTAATAGATCATATGTTTCTCAAATTTTTCAAGTTTTATTAAATATATATTCATTTATAAAAACTTTATCTATAACTTTAACAAAGTAAGACTGAAATAATATTCATGTAACAAAAAAACCGAAAAATCCGAACAACCCGACAAAACCGAACCAATCCAAACCGATATAGTAGTTTGTTTTGGTTTTGATAAATACCGAATCAACCCGATCTGTGTACATCCCTAAGCAATAAAATATATCCCGTTTCGTAAGAATAAAATATATCCCGTTTCGCAAGAAGATTTGTTTCTCTACTCTCAGTTTGAAAGCACCATTTATCGTCCTTTAGTCTTCTGTCATCGGCCATTTGCATCTATACCCGCTTTTTGGGTCACGTTTTAACTTGTGCCTGCTTCGCAAAAAAAATTGCAAACGTACCCACTTTTTCGCGTAACTTCGGCATACGGGGCTGAAGTAGCAAAGGTAATCACGCAAAACTTCAGCATTCTAGTAGATGGGCCTAAAGTAGCAAAGGCAATATGCTGAAGTTTTTTTGTCCTGGATAAGATTTTTCAAAAACTTCAGCAGAAGATGCTGAAGTTATTTAGTTCATTTGTAAAAACTTCAGCAATTGGATTCATTAGTTTTGTCATAAAGCTTTTTCAAAAACTTCAGCAGAAGATGCTGAAGTTATTTAGTTCATTTGTAAAAACTTCAGCACTAAATAAGCTGAAGTTTTTTTGTCCTGGATAAGCTTTTTAAAAAATTTCAGCAAAAGATGCTAAAGTTATTTAGTTCATTTGTAAAAACTTCAGCACTAAATAAGCTGAAGTTTTTTTGTCCTGGATAAGCTTTTTCAAAAACTTCAGCAGAAGATGTTGAAGTTATTTAGTTCATTTGTAAAAACTTCAACACTCTATAAGCTGAAGTTTTTGAAAAAGCTTATATAGTTTTTTGACCCATACAATCAGTATATTGGATCTTCATTTTTTTTCTTCTTTCTGAACGTTTTTATGGAGCAGATCAGTACTTTAACCCCACATATCAATTCATTTGATTCAAAGAAAAAAAGATTACATCAAATATGCGAAAAAAAATAAAAAGAAACCGTGCAGCTTATGTTAGTTGATTCATTGTTATTGATAAGTCGTAACAATGAAGATCAGATGCTAACATGTGTTATCGTACTGAAAATATCTTAAGAAAACGAAGGAGGAGAAGGAGGAGGAGAAAGGGAGCTGAAGTTGTTTAAAAAGTGGGTACAAGTTATAACTTATTAAAAAAATAGGTATAGATTAAATGGAGGCAACCAAATAGGGCGCCCCGTGCAATTTTTACTTCTGTCATACCCCTCTTATTTTATACTACTGGTTAGTTCTTTATTCCTCCAAACTCTGAAGTTCTTTTTTTTTTTTAAATCCAAAGACTAAGGTATGTCGAGAAAAGTCACAAATTTTGGGAGGTCTAAAATGTGAAAAGACAAATAAGCTAAAGTTAGAAGAGCTTAGGTTAATTTAGAGAAATTCTAAAATTAACCTAAGCCAATTAGCCATAGTTAAGCCTTAAAAATTATCTCTTACATTCATTGGTTTGTAACGTTCAAGGTGTAAAAGTTTTCTAGTTTTCAGAACAACATTAAATCCGTCAGCGTTTCATAATCAGTTTGGAAATCCTTGGTGTATAAGCCTAGCCAAACACCCTTTGTTCCTCAATTCCACATTCTTTGTGGATAACATTTGAAGACTGCCAAAACCCTCATTTTTATTTTCAGATATCACAGATGGGGAAGAAGAAAAATGGCTGTAGTGCTGCCTCTGGCGGCTCAAGATGTATAATAGTAGGCCGAAGCATAGACGGTGATGGTGCAAATATATTCCGTGCTTTCAACCCAACTTAAGCCGAAAAAACTTATTTAACGGTGACCGCTAACCGTTTTTGGTACCAAATCTTTGGTGTTACTTTTTCCAATAAACATTAATAGTAAGGGTAAAATCGTAAAGCACGACTTACATTCAAAGAAGCTTCGCTCAAGGCGGATACAACCAGATCGCTGTTGGTTTGGTACGTTCTATTTCCAGAAAGTTTGATCATTTTCACTTCTCGATACCTAGATTCTTTATGAATCTTTAAAATGTATTTTTTCTGTCTTTTTAATATAAAGTAACTTGCAATTTATATTTGTATGTAGTTTTTGAATATCTAAATTTTATTTGACATAATGAATTAATTTTGTCAAATTTGACTCCGGAAAGTTGTCAAATCGACATTATCATTATTAGTGACAATATAAGGAAAGAACTATATTGAAACGTCTGAATTAGAATATGGTTTTTGGAATTTACAGGCAATACTCGGGTGATTGGGCAGAAGGAGTTGCAATTCTTTAGAGAAGAGATCCAAAATCGGCTTTCCTTTTTCCTTCCTGGTATATGTTGAATTTTACTCGCAAATAAGAGCTAAATATTACTGTACCAATGCTTGGAATTCTGTATTCTGTTTACCAATATCACCATCTATTTATATTTCTAAAGCAAGCAAGAGTTCATTGTCATGACTGTGAGCCTTTTGGACCTAAAACAAAGAGGAAACGCACAAAATCATTAGCCAAGAAAGATAATACGTCTCCAGGTATGAAATGAGATTACAAAAAATGTTAAAACTTTATGTACATCATATCTAGGGGCATGGTTTTAGCAAATTAGCTGGAAGATTAAAAATAATGTAAAATGTTTTTGGAATTTTATCATCCACTAGACAGAAATTCTTATTGCAGATGCCCCTCTCCCAGTTCATGAAGAGACAGGACCAACAGGAAGATGCATATCTAAGCCAACCAAAACCAAGCATTTTTTGCGGACTGTGAAACTGAAGATGCAAGAGACAAGTCAAAAGCAGAGCCATTATAGCATAGCAAGAGAACCACACAGTTCGCGCGAATGATGCTAGAACAGTGAATTGTTGTTCACTTCGTATATAGAAGGGAAAAAAAACAAGGCAATGAGTTGACTCGTTTGAAGGAGGTGGAAAGAATGAAAAAGGAAGGGGGATGCAAATGAGTTCATAATATACATTGTTATCTCTTTTCCCCTTTCCTTTTGATTCTAATCAGTTTACCCCTTGGGCATTTGGTACTTTCCCAGTATAAAAAAAAGTCCAACCAGATATGGGCTGGTCTAAGTGGGTACAGAATACTGTCGACCTATCGGAATATTCCAATCACAAACTATTTAAGGCAACGTTATTCTGTCCAACTTTGCAAATAAACGGAAACGGAAGAGATCAGTGGAATTTAGCTTACATACATATACACAGCTTAGATCCTTATTTGATCCACATTTAAACGAAAGATTACAAAAGATATAAGCTTTCTGCGCTTTGCTTGTGGAGCAAGAATTACTTTTATGAATTACAAAGCACCTAAATTTTGTCATTCTCATTCACAGTCTTTTATCTTGTACTCTAACAAAGCAGGAAGGAAACAAGAAAAGGAAAATAAATCAGAAACCCTAAAAGGAGTAAACTAGTTTATCAAGTGGTGCTTCATATTCTCTTTATTATTATTTTTCTTCAACCAGGGGTGCTTCATAATTCATGTGAACTCAATCATTAACACAATGCAAATAAGTTTGAGAGTAGATTTTCCGATGTTTTTGTGAAGCAACTCGAGATGGAAAGAAAATGAAGCCGCAGCAGCTGGGGCCTAGCGTGGGGACCGAATGATGATCAAATGTAAGATATTAAAAGAGCCAAAAGCTATCGGTTTCTAAAGCAGTATTCAATAAACTGTAGATTTCATTATAAGCACAACATTTACTGTTTACAACATCACTCTTGTTCCCAACACGCACTCTCCAACTCCCAACCAATATATGGGAGGAAAAAAGATGAACACACAGTTAAATAAAAGAATACAACTTTACCCGCCTTCAAAATGCACATTCACACGATATACAGGACACATCAAAAGATTGAATGATAAGATTAAACTCCTCGGGAACCAACAAGGAAATCCCAAAAAGCTGGCAACAGCTAACTGCGGTTCGCATCTATAGGAGTACCTGTTCTGGCCTGTGATATTCTATTTGCATAAATAGTCACCAATCTTAACTGTGTGCTGTTCAGCCCTTCCAAGTATGGCAAAAATGCTTTGCCGAGCATGATGTATATGTCAACCAAACAGAACACAACAGTCTGCCAGCCAAAAAATTTACGCATATCAAAAAACAGCTTAATTGATAAAACTGCAGACATGTACAGAATGTGAACTATATTCATCCCTTCATTCGTCAAGAGTATATGAGCAATAACGCCGTTTGATTATAGGCAATCGAATTTGGTAAAACCACAGCCACAAAGCTTGTATTACTAAGGTTTGTGTATGAGCCATAAGCTTATTGCATGATCTTCTTTTTAAACTTTCTTTCTGGGATAAGGTAAGGTTTGTCGAATGATCACATATCGAGTCCATAAACAGGTGTCAGGAAAAGACAATGAAGTGAGGGCAGGAGCTCAATAGCATTTGACAAATGGGACAACTATTAATATCGAAATATAACAGCAACATATGGCTAAGGAACAAGACTAAGAATTTTTCATTGCAGACTGCTACTAAGACATATCAGATGTCTTTGTCAGATAATTATCAAAATGAATCTCCAAGACAGTTATATGTACCTTTTAAGGAGATTTTATTATCCTCAACTATGGCAATTCAGAACTTTTTGTTGCATATTAATATTGAAGTTGTTTAGAAATTTCTTTTCTTGAGCCGAGGGTCTATTGAAACCTATGTTGCTCGGACTCTCCGGACATGACTCTGAGTGCTGATCGGATCCTCCAAAAGTAGTGCACTTTTGGAGGATCCGACAAGGGTGCGGCAGCATTATGGAGAGTCCGCGCAGTGTTAATAAAAGCGGGTGCTTCCTCGCTTTAAGCGAGAAGCAAAGCGGAGCGAGAGGGGTATCGCTATCAATGTTAAAAGCGGCTCAGGTATGCATAAGCGACCGATTCTCTCTAAAAAGCGAGAAGCGGTGAAGCGCCCAGAAGCGATCGAAGCGGACGATTTATCAATTAAAAGACCCAAATCGTTGTTTATGTTTTAGCACTTCTTCGACTTCTTTAGCAGCAAACTAGGGTACTTCAAACCAGCGATTTCTTCCTCACTTCAAGCAGCGATTTGTTCAAGCAAACTAGGGTTCTTCTGCTTCTTCTTCAAGACTTCAACAGTACAACAGCAACTTAGTTTCAACAGGTATGTTTTCCAGATTTATTTTCATTCTTCTTCTTCTTCTTCTTTTTAAACGTCCAAAAAGCGCCGAAATGCTGGCGAATTTTTTTCAGAAAAATTCTGCCAAGTTTCTGCCCAGTTTCTGCCCAATTTCTGCCCAATTATTTATTTTAAATTTTTTTTTTAAATTCCGCTTCACTTAAAAAAAGCGGGCGCTTCGCTTCTCGCTTCTCGTGAAATGGGGGTTGTCGCTTTTCCTTGCTTCATGCTATTTTTAACATTGAGTCCGCGCAACATAGATTGAAACGGCCTCTCTACCTCACACAAGTTAGGGGTAAGGTCGGCGTACATCTTACCCTCCCCAAACCCCCCACCTATGAGATCACACGTATGTTGTTGTTGTTGTTGTTGTACTAGTAGTGCTAATAATGACACGTGAAACGATCTGTTACATAAAATATATTAGATCTTCTACATAAAATGAATTTTTGAAACAAGATATTAGGTGCTTAGGAGTATTTCATATTTCTCAAGCATGGCATACAACTGCCTTCAACCCTCTTTATTTTACTCGATTCGGGCGTCCCTGATTCTATCACGGATATGCATAAGGACCAATGCCAAATAAAATTGTTGGGGGGACCTTTCCCGGTAGAACTGCCAGAGTATGCCAATTGCAAACAAACAGGTACAGCATAACTAATGGTAGACTAGGAACCCGTGTTTTAGCTATATTATGATTCTAATTACTGCACTTTATTCGTGGTTGAGCTTCAATGACGATGATTTCTTCTTATTATGTGTATTGCGCTTTGTAAGAGGTGATTCCGAGTTAGAAAGCGATTTTAGAGCTAAAATAGATAATTTGGAGCTTTGAATTCTGAGTAGGAGCCCAAGGAATTAAACCAGGATCGCATTCGGGGGTCAAGGACCAATCCTGGATGTTAAAAAGTGATAAACCGGAACTCGAAGAAAATTGCACTACCACGCCGCATGGGGCATCGAATGGCCCGGCCGCGGTGTAGAGGCAGATTTCTGACAAAAATCAACTCTCTGAAAAAAGTGCACTAGCCGGCGCATGGAGCAGCGCGCCTGTGCAATTTTCCTACTTCGGATCAGAGATGGTAGTTCCCTCCAGGCCCGTTCCTTCATAGTATAAATACACCAAAAACACGATTTTTAGAGGACTTTTCACCTACGGAGCTTTTGGAGAGCATTGGAGGCTTCAAGACACAAGATTTCATCATCTTTCCACCAACTCAAAAAGAGAGTTTGGATTGTAACATTGGATTGATGTTTTCATATTCTTTAACTCCATTTGTGATGACGTCCTCTATGATTATGGAGTCGTTTACCTTAGGATTTGACATGATTTGGTGATTTGATTGTTATCTATGAATTTATTCTGATTGCTTGAATTTGTTGGAGGAACTTTAACTCTAGTTGTGATTTTATTCATTATCATGCTTAATCGGAAGAGGAGCATAATATTGAAAATTATTGCAAAGCATGCCTTAATTTATTTTGGTACTTCTTTAAAGTAATCGAAAGAGCTTTGCGATCTACCTTTTGAATTAAGAGTGAGAAATATTCGCAAGAAGTTTCTCTTAGACCTTCTTACCAATAGATTCTTGCAAGTTTCACCGCACTTCATATTAGCTTATTTGAACGATTTAGGTTTAATCAAGAGAAGAACCTGAATCAAAATAATAGGACAATAACTGGTTGAACTCATGAGAATCAATAGATCCTTAAGAGTGAAATTTAACAGTGTCAAGTCCAAAATAAAAATCTTGCACCTATTATGTCATAACCCTAATTTCTCGCACGGATTAAAAATCAATTTTGCTAATCTCTAGTTATGTGTAATCAATTGTTAATTGCTTTACTCTTAGTAGTTAATTAGAGCTCATAATTATTCCCAATCGAAGTGTTAATCATCCTGAATAGTATTTAACAACAAATTACTTGAACAATGTTTAGTCCAATCCATCTGGAGATGATAACTTTCTATACTATCTTTGACGTAGCACGAGCTTAATTTTATAGTGTGTTTTACGCTCGTCAATAACATCTCATGCTATCTAGCTGATATCTCCACAATATAAAAGAAATCGAGTAGGAGATGCACATTCTGCTGAAGCTATAACTATTACCCAGCTTGATTCTATTGAAGCTATAACTACTAGTTTAATTCTATTAGTGATTCTACAAATCTTTTTAGGCTCAAAAAAGAAAAGAGAACAAATAGAAAAGAAATTGGCACCTTGCGAACATCTGCACTCTGGTTTCCAAAAGCATCAAACAGGGCAGGTAAGAACGAGGGTAGCTGAGACATCAATTCTTCCTGGGAAAACCTCCCCACAAGCTGAAAAAGGAAATAAGTTCTAATCACTAACCAATCAAAACTTAGCTTCTCCAAGTTTGACATACACTAGCAAAGCAATTACTTCTTTTCACATCAGAAAACCAGACACAAGAATCTATGAGTTCAGGGGTCAGATTCAATCAGCAAATTACCTTTGTCAAACAGTTAATACAAGTTACAAGAGTCTTCTCATCTTCGGTGACAAGCAAAGGAACAACAACCTGCAAAAACAGTAACTTATCAGAAATAGGAATAGCAAAAAGGCCATGAGATCAAGCGAAAAATGAAAAGAAGAAATCCAGATATCTTGCTAAGCAAATTCAAATGAAACACAAGAACTTACACTTAAGCATCTAAATGGGTCATACAAGGACAACACCATAGTTAAACAATGCTCGGCTTCATTTGCAACCTGGACAATATAACAACACATTAGAAAAGGAGGGAAGGGAAATTTTCAGCATAATAACTTCATCTAAGTGAGACTTTACTTTCAGGGCAACATCCTTGGTTGCGTTGAGCAGTTTTTCAATTACAACCTCAACTGAATCCTCCATAGCATCTCTCTGAGAAACAACAGAAAATGGATAAAATAAAACGACATTGTAAATGAAAAGAGTTAAAAAGACGCACACAACCTCTCTCATCTATAGATAAAGGGGTGGAATAAGAATAAATTTGATAAGCAGCTAAAAAACCTGATTCTTCAACATTTCGACTATCAGAGATAGAGCAAGTTCTCTTAATGAAGACTCAGAATCATCTAGCACCTCGAATACAGCAGTCAATATCTGATTGAAGTACTGCACCGAACGAAAGATGACATGTCATAATAAAATCCATCTTTCAAACTAGTAGAGAATTGAATCCTGATATTCAGTAGAACTTTTAAAATAAATAAGCAATAACTGACCTCTACCTAGTTTTTGAATACGACAAAAAGAAATTAAACTAAATATGATTTACAATGTTGCATGAGAAATTTAAAGTAGGAAAAATTACTCTCTTTGTCAGTTGGCCCAACATTCTAACAAAATTGGGCCTATATTTTACCTTCTTACCCGGTATGGCCCAGTTTGTACATAAGTTGAAAAATTATTTTCATCGGTTAGCCACATTACTGTCCCCACTCTCTTTTTCTTTATGCGGAGGACTTTTTTCCATTCACAATTCATAATTCTAATCAGTTTTCTCTTTCAGATTTTCCCCCCACCCCTCTTTCTCTTTCATTTTCAATTCGCTCTTGCTCTTTCTGTCTCTCTCTCTCTCTCTCCTCCACAGCCGGATCTATCTTTTTCTTCTTTTTCCTTTCGATTCAGTGCTCGCCGAAGCCGATTCCTAGTTTGATATTAGAGGATCCTTTTATTCTTTGGCCATTGGTGAATATACATATATTTGATTCATTCCTGGTACTTGAGTTTAGTGTCTTACTTGAGTTTGGTAATTGTTAAAGTTCTGCTGCTTTTGTATTTTGGAGAATTTTGTTACATAAAGTTGTACTGCTGGAATTAAACTTGTGGTCCATGTATCACCCGATGGTAGTTGTTAGTTGTGCTACTTTGCTTTATGAAGAAAAGCTGGTTTACATCCCATTCGGAGAAAAAGAAAATATTGAGTGGTTATTTCTTTTAATTCTTGTCTCTTATTCTAAGTTATGAAATCTCCTTTTTTGGTAATTTTTCCTTCTTCTCCTTCTTCTTCTTCTTTTCACTTTTAGTGACTTCCGAAGGGAGGAAGAATGATGTATATGTTGTATATATACTTTGTATAATCATGTATAACCATGTATATTTGTGTGTATTCTCAGAGTTATACAGAATTATACAGGATTATACACAAGTATACAAGATTATACATAGGTATACATAACTATACAACATAGATAATTGTAGAAAAGTGTTTGGATTTCTTGCCTTCAGATAGTGTGTATTATTATATAATTAACGTATGACTATGTACAACAATGTATATAATGTGTTTAGTAATGTAATTTTTTATTTTTTCCAGTGAAATAATAATTTCCCTTACAAAACTTTGAATTTTGAAAAAAATTAATTAAAATTATAGGCTTTAAGGATGAATATATTTTTTATTTCAACTTCCTGATATTGTTAGTTTTAGGAAATATATAAAGAGGGAAGTAAAAAAAAATAAGAATGAAAATGGAAAAAAGGAAAAGATAAATATGAAAGAAAAAAGCGGAATTTGATTTAGGCGTGAAAAGACTGGTAAAAGGAAAAAGTAATCAAAATGAGTAAACGCTTGACGAAGTCCGACGAGATTAATGGGTAAACGGTTGACGAAGTCCGGCGAAATTTGCGAGTTTGACTTGTTTTCAGAAAATTGATTAATGTTTGTGGGCTATCAGATGAAAACTGTATTTGTGGGTTAGGCGGGTGAAAAGTACTTCCTCTAACTGTATTTTCATGTAAACTTCCCTTTAAAGTATACATAAAGGAACAGCAACAACCAAACAGATAAATCTGCGACTAATATACCTTATTCCATATAGATTGATCATTGGCAACAGCTTCAACTAGTTGTTCAAGTGCACCATGCTTGTTGGCAGCACAACTTTCATCACTGCCATTACAGATCTGGCAAAAGTGGAAGAGAGAGCATGATAAAGATTTTGATAGTTTTCATCCCAAGTTTTTGCAAAAAACACTTGATAGTTTCTTTAGCCAAGGACGAGGAGAATCTCTGAGAATTTGACAATAAACTGTAACTTGACGGGTACAGATTGACCACAGAGAACTCACCGTATGAAGAATTTGAGGAATGCTTGGTCCAGTTGCTGGAGTTGAGTTTATCTTCAGAGAAGAAAGTTTCAGGTGATTAAGTCCCAAATCAGATTCCTTATCAGCTCCAACACCCACAGCTACCCCTAGATGCTCCGAGTCAACTAACCCATTAACCTCCAGATGGGGAGTGGAAGTGTGCTCCATCTTTAAGCTGTCGTAATTACATTCCTGCGGATTATCCCACAATCCGTCACTCTGATTAGCGGTAAGGGCCAAAGCTTTTGAAACAGGAAGATCGGAGTTGGAACCAGTTTCAACATCACGATAGAAGTCTTGAGTATCATCAGACAAAGAGTGACCTATGGAGCTAGTCATATAGGTCGAGTCTGGAACAGAGTTCCACTTTCTGACACCATCATTATCAACTGAACCACCAGAATACCTTCCAAATAGATGACTTTTCTTTGAAGCTCCTATATATCCCTCTTCAGAAGATGTTCCAACAACATCAGATGGATCATACTTGGAACGTTGCCTTTCCTTCTTATTCTGTAGAAAATTCATCAAATCCACCTCTATACGAGGGGTATACTGTTTAAGTGCCCGTCTCAAGGAATTTTGTTCTTCAACTGATAAGCTAAGAATAAAAGTCAAAACCCCTGTTGCATCAAAGTGTGTGTACACTGATATAATGCATGAAATAGCTGCTTCTTTCAGTTTGGTGTTTTTATCATAGACTAGTGGTGTCAACTTAGCAAGCCATAACTTGAGGATGCCACTATTTCCAGCACCTTCAGAATTCGAAGGATGCTTGTTAAAAGAGCCAATTGAAAACTCAATTACAGCAAGCTTGGCCTTTGGAGAACGCTGTTCATCCAATGAACGGAGCAAAGCTGGCAAAAGGGAATCTATACCATATGTT